ATGTCAACCTCCTGCCAGCCTCCCTAACTCACCTTTGTCCCTGTGTTCTTAACAGAGGCTTTCAGAAGATTCTTCTGTTGCACCTTTTAAAAGTAACGCCGTCAGGCTCGGACTAGGAACGATTTTCGGCCCGGGCATTTTTCCATCTACACCGGCCCACTTACCTTACCTTCCACCCCTGAAAAAACTTAGTAGCACAGTCAAATGCGTGCGTCTCAAATGTGAAACACAATGCGAATACACATTGTGGATTAACCAATCTATCTTCAAGCATCACACAACAACCATCACCAAGACTTCTATAATGCGGTTTTACTGGCTTTGGTTATTAACACAGACATGACAGTGACTATTGCTGTGTATCATCCACACTTGCATGAAGTCAGCCAGACACCCACTCACATACAGGTGCTGGTCATAAAATTAGAATATCATGAAAAAGTAGATTGATTTCAGTAATTCCATTTAAAAAGTGAAACTTGTATACTATATTCATACATTACATACAAACTCATATATTTCAGATGTTTATTTTGTTTAATTTTGATGATTACAAATGACAACAAATGAAAATCTCAAATTCATCATATCAGAAAATTAGAATATTGTGAAAAGGTTCAAAATTGATGGCCCCTGGTGCCACACTCTAATCAGCTAATTAACTCAAACCACCTGCAAAAGCCTTTAAATGGTCTTTCAGTCTAGTTCTATAGGCTACACAATCATGGGGAAGACTGCTGACTTGACAGTTGTCCAAAAGACGACCATCGACACCTTGCACAAGGAGGGCAAGACACAAAAGGTCATCGCTAAAGAGGCTGGCTGTTCACAGAGCTCAGTGTCCAAGCACATTAATAGAGAGGCGAAGGGAAGGAAAAGATGTGGTCGAAAAAAGTGTACAAGCAAGAGAGATAACCGCACCCTGGAGAGGATTGTGAAACAAAACCCATTCAAAAATGTGGGGGAGATTCACAAAGAGTGGACTGCAGCTGGAGTGAGTGCTTCAAGAACCACCACACACAGACGTATGAAAGACATGGGTTTCTGCTGTCGCATTCCTTGTGTCAAGCCACTCTTGAACCACAGACAGCGTCAGAAGCGTCTTGCCTGGGCTAAAGAGAAACAGGACTGGACTGCTGGTGAGTGGTCCAAAGTCATGTTCTCTGATGAAAGTAAATTTTGCATTTCCTTTGGAAATCAAGGTCCCAGAGTCTGGAGGAAAAGAAGAGAGGCACTTCATCCACGTTGCTTGAAGTCCAGTGTAAAGTTTCCACAGTCAGTGATGGTTTGGGGTGCCATGTCATCTGCTGGTGTTGGTCCATTGTGTTTTCTGAGGTCCAGGGTCAACGCAGCCACATACCAGGAAGTTTTAGAGCACTTCATGCTTCCTGCAGCTGACCAACTTTTTGGAGATGCAGATTTCATTTTCCAACAGGACTTGGCACCTGCACACAGTGCCAAAGCTACCAGTACCTGGTTGAAGGACCATGGTATCCCTGTTCTTAATTGGCCAGCAAACTCTCCTGACCTTAACCCCATAGAAAATCTATGGGGTATTGTAAAGAAGAAGATGCAATACACCAGACCCAACCATTCAGAAGAGCTAAAAGCCACTATTAGAGCAACCTGGGCTATCATAACACCTGAGCAGTGCCACAGACTGATCGACTCCATGCCACGCCGCATTGCTGCAGTAATACAGGCCAAAGGAGGCCCAACTAAATACTGAGTGCTGTACATGCTCATACTTTTCATGTTCATACTTTTCAGTTGGCCAACATTTCTATAAATCCTTTGTTTTTATTGGTCTTCAGTAATATTCTAATTTTCTGATATGATGAATTTGAGATTTTCATTTGTTGTCATTTGTAATCATCAAAATTAAACAAAATAAACATCTGAAATATATGAGTTTGTATGTAATGTATGAATATAATATACAAGTTTCACTTTTTAAATGGAATTACTGAAATCAATCTACTTTTTCATGATATTCTAATTTTATGACCAGCACCTGTATACAGCGCTGTCACTGACTCACGTTTTCCAGCCCAAAAACTGTTCATAAACCGCCTGGATACTTCTTGAGCTCCTTGAGTTATTTACTGTCACAGGTAGGTGCTTCGGCCAGAGAATAAGTGTTGGGGCCGGTATAATTTAAAGGAATAGTACACCCAAAACATGATTAGCCTTCATTTTCTACTCACCCCCATGCTGAACAACACTCTGGAGTACTTTTTTGATATCTCAAATGCATCTGGAGATCTGGGAGGCTTCTTGCTGTCTGCTGACATTCAAATAATGGAGGTCTATGGTGACCGAGACAGAAAGGTCCATAAAAGTCCACAAAAACGTGTCAATATTGCTCCATACTGCTCTTCCAATGTATCCCAAGTGTCCTGAGTGGGTAGCATCCAGAATTTACTCAAAACGAAGTCATTTAGAATGTTTTTAGAGCATAAACAGTAGTGTATAGGATTTCCTGAAAGCGCGCACGTGCGCGATCCCGACGCTACGGAAGCCGGCAGACCAAACCAGCGCATTCAGCTCGGCAAAGAACTCATGCTCTTCCTCAACACTGAAGTCCTCAGACATTTTTCTTTCGTTGTTTCTTTCTTTGCACAGGTAAACAGCACATTTCTTCTTCTACGCTTGCATTATTGGCAGAGCAGACGCTGAATGCGCACTTTCATCTGGCTTGGTCTGCCGGCTTCCGTAGCGTCGTGAGCGCGCATGTGCGCGCTTTCAGGAAATCCTATACACTACTGTTTATGCTCTAAAAACATTCTAAATGACTTCGTTTCGAGTAAATTCTGGATGCTACCCACTCAGGACACTTGGAATACATTGGACGAGCAGTATGGAGGAATATTGACACGTTTTTTGTGGACTTTTATGGACCTTTCTGTCTCGGTCACCATAGACCTCCATTATTTGAATGTCAGCAGACAGCAAGAAGCCTCCCAGATCTCCAGATGCATTTGAGATATCAAAAAAGTACTCCAGGGTGTTGTTCAGCATGGGGGTGAGTAGAAAATGAAGGCTAATCATGTTTTGGGTGTACTATTCCTTTAAGGAGGGCCGGCCCACACATGTTGAAATTAGGACTGGCCAACCGGGCAAATGCCCAGTATCACAGATTACCAGTCAGAGCCTGAACACCGTGCAACTTTTTACCAAAGCTTCAATTGTGATTTACCAAGTAATTGTTCCGATCTATGTACAGTAGCCTGTGTCGATCCTCTGTTTGGGCTGTTCCTCTCATAACCCCAGCTATGTAAATTAAATGGATTGGATCCATTACCGAATGTGTTTATTGCAATCTGAGCTCCCTGTATAACCCAAAGCGAGATAAGTTAAAAGCTGTCTTTAGGCAATAGAACAGATTTTACACTTACCTGATAAGACATATTTTTGTTTCTATCATGTAGACATTTGCTTTCCCACTGTCAGTAGCTTGGACCTTGATGCATATTAGATTGAATTCTTGGTTTTATACTGTTGGGTTTAAATATTGACCTTGTAGATCTACCAGATAAACCTACATTGGTTCAGTCTTTCACAGCTGATAGCAGGTTTGTTTACCCTTTCTATTTTCCCCTCTTTTTTCTCTTGTTTCATCACCCAAAAGTGTATCTGCACTGGTGCAAAATGATTAACTGGTTATATATTTGCTTTTTATTATGTTTCTCAATGGGAGAGTTGCAGAATGTCAGGGTGTGTCAGGCATGCAGGCTGCAGTTTGTCTGAGTTTCACTGCCAACGCAGCCAGGGAACAATTGTCACTTGTGTCTATACTTGTCGCTAAAATGTCCAAAAATACCTAAAGACACTTAGAAAGGGAAGATAAAGGACAGAGAGTGAAGGTATTGTTTGTAGGGAATCATATCCTTCACAAGCAGGTCACTATCCTACTGCCTGAACCCAAATTTAACTTCTGCATTCAGTCCTCCTCCCCAGGTGTCCCACTTTAGGTTCATGCTTAAGAGACCAATAAATGGGTTAACAAAGCAGGTTAATAATCTCCCACTCTGATTAAAGGGATCCTAGTTTGAATACCTTCTTTCTGTTCAGTTTATGAGAGGACATATTGCAGCCTTTCAGCCTTTGGTTTCATCATCAATTGGCAACTTGTGATGCAAACTAGAACAAGCTGGAGCAGCACCCAAAGTTAAACCCATGTCTGTCTTCAGCGTTATATCCAGTCCTTGTGAAAAGGTGTGAGCAGTTTATTTTTGGAAAGGATTAGATATTGATCTGGTCTGAATATGTTGTATTTTTATCCTAGGCCTGCAACTGAAGATTATTTTTGCTAAACCCTGATGATGTTAACTGTGAGCTATGATCAGGATGATTTGCAGAAATCTTTACATTAATGTTCTGATTATCTTTCATTTTATTTCTTTTCATGGTTTGACTCCTATAATTTAATGTCTGCAGACAGAGTTGGATTTAGTTTCCTGTCTGATCCCGTGAACCGGATCTGTCCCACTCTATTGATTAGAACATCGACCGAATTAAAAGCTTGGCTTCTCAGCTACCGTTCGCTGACTCATCATGCAGGCCGTGAGGAGATGATGAGAAATTTCCCTCAGATCACGTTGTACTTTGGATGAAATATTGTCCTGGTTTATACTTACAGCCATTGAAGTTTAAAGAGTAAAAGCTTGTTTAAATCCTCGTATATAACTTGTTACCAGACATGTGGGGAATCGAGCCTAAGGAGGTTTACTAAAGTTTCAGATTTAATCGGATTCGGACAAAGATGTTTGTTGAAATACTTGTTCTTGTGTTTCTGTAATTCTTGGTAACGTCTTGGGACCTGAATGCTTGAATCAGGAAAACCTGACCGCAAATTCCCCAGCATGAGCTTTTCTAAATGTATTTAATTATTATGTTACAACCAGGTGATTTAAAATAATCTCTGTATCTTTGTCTTAGTCTCATAGACATTTTTCCATTTTATCAAATAAAACTGATGCTGATTATCTGTCTTTCAGACGTTGGACATCAACTGGACAGGACTCACAAACATGTTGGATATTCCAGGTGTTAAGTAAGTACACATCTGTCCCTACTGTATTAAGTTATAATGCGACTAGTGTTGCGCCAATGCTATTTTGTAGCCTCGATACCGATACCCGATACCTGGCTGTGGAGTATCAGCTGATACCGATACCATACCGATACCATCTGTTTGAAATTGATGTGTGTGTGTATATATATATATGAAGAATTGCATAATCCCTAGATGTAAAATAATTGCCATCATGGCTTTGTCAAGCTGCTGCCTACCTCTGTGAAGCAGGAAAAAGACTAATACAAAGTGAATCCAGTAGAACTTTTTATTGCCTACCTGGAATGGGTGACAATAGCTGAATAAACTTTTGGCTCTCAAAAGGGTATTGGTGTCCTATTTGTCGGTACTCGCCGATACCGATACCACCATTTTAGTAGAGGTGAGTATTGGCATGAGTGTTGCGATTCGATACATGTCGCGATACTTGGGTCATGATATATTATCACGATATTGCAGTATCACTATATATTGCTATATTTTCCCCAGCTATCAAAATCAAATGATGAGATAAAACAGCAATTGCTGCATATTTTCATCAGAAAATATTGATTAGGTATTATTATCCATGTTGTTTGGGGTTTTCTTCCACTGTGACTGCCTCAAATACAGATTTGGTGCTGCACGCACATTTAAAGGGCTCCACAGCGCTTTCTGCCAGAGTGGGGGTGCAGAGGTAGCCCATTTTCCCATCAATGTTTTATGTAACCATTTTTTTTTTTTTTATCGATACTAAGAAGTGAAAAATCGATATTATATTGGGCAGCCGAATATCACGATATATCACCAAAACGATTATTTCCCACACCCCTACATTTTAGCGCAGTATCAGGGCCCTGTCCGATACCGGTATCGGTGCAACACTAAATGCGACATGTAATGCATTCATTTTTATGCATTCAGTTTCTTGTTGATCATTTTTTTGAAAAAATTGACCTTTCCCATCAATCAGTATCACACGAGGCTCCATTCATCTCTTCAAATGAGTTCAATGTTCACCTGATGACTTAATGAGATGATTAGAGTCTGCTGTGCTACTGCTTTGTTTGAAAGAAGACCCACAGATGTACGGCCTCTTAAGGAACCAGTTTCCCACCCCTGATGTAGGGCATTGATTTCCAAATGGAAGCAAACCAGACTTTCCTTTTTAAATAAGACTTAGACCATGGGTTAAAAGGTCAACTCTTTTTCTGCGATTCAAGAGAATAAAATCCCATTTCAGGACTGACTTAACACAAGAACTGTTGTGGTTGAAGTCTTTGAAGTTACTCCAGTAGCTTTTAGTTTCAGCTTCAGTCCACACCTTGTAAATGTCCTCCACTCTTAGATGGACTTTGCTTTGCCATGACTTCAGTATATTCACAACACTTCTTTCCATTCAACTTTCTATAATTATGCTAATATACAGCAGATATCTTTAGCAAAGACCTTTTGTAGCGAACCCCCCCTCGGTAGGAACTCTCCTGTGTCTGTTTTGTTTTTCCTTCAGCTGTAAAGATAAGACTCTGCAAACATTTATCTAAAATTATCTGCCAATGGAATTGGTATTATGGGCCAAAAATAGAATAAATTATTTTGTACTTTAACTCTAAATTTTTTGTCATAATTGCAAAAATCTTTTTCTATTTGAAGACAAAGTTACTTGCCTACCAAAATTAAAGTGCAAATGCACTTTTTTCAAGAAAGTTTTGCTCACTTTATTTTACCTATTGCAGAGCGTAGTAATAACCAAGTAAAAAGAAGTTTAATGTAGAAAAGTTAAGTCCCATTCTCTTGTTTATTGCAAAAACACAGCATACCAGAGAACTAGTTAAATGGAAAAGCAACCCTGGTGCTTACCTTTATGAAATATGGATATATTTCCTTATTTCCTATATTTCCTATTCTTGATGACTAAATTACCTTAAAGTATTTTGTATTGATATATATTTTTTTATATAGCAGTCATGTGCCTTCATCTTTCACACCTTCTAATACATATCAGGTGTCAAACTGAAACCAAATCATCTGGTTGCTCTGCTGGAGTTGCAAGATGTGAGGGAAAAAAACAGGTATTCAGGAATGTCCCACCCATTCATACAGAGGTAGGCAGGTGAAATGCAATGATTAAATGAGGAAATCATGCACGAGTTGAATGGTGATTAAAAGGACATGTTATTATAACCCTTCTTACATATCAAATATGTAAGTGCAGACTGAATATCAACAAAAAGCTACAAGCTATTAAAACATAAAAGGTGCAATGATATTGTGCCCCACTTTAGACACATAGTAGTTTTCTCCTTATTAATTGTTTGTTTTAAGACTCCAAAATACCCCACCCAGTGAAATGCAGTGCTCCTTGTTGAACTAGTTTGAAGGAAGTCCATTGCGCATGTTTGTTTGTGTGTTGGTGTGTGTGAGCTGCAAACCTGCACCTGCCCCACCCTCCTATTCCTCTGCCTACATTAGGAAAGTCATACTTCCTTAGTGAGGATTCACCTTTAATCTCAAAACTACACATAAATCCAAATTTACCTTAGTTTCTGTTTTTTAGATGAAAAACAATCAGTGTCTGATTACACAATCGTTACTTAGGGGGAAAATAATCAAATACTTGTATTTGAGGCTATATAGAGGAAGCAGGTTTTCTGTATCCTATTCATCTCTGCAGGCAGTTAGTACTTCATTGGGTAGACAGATTATTAAAATAATTTTAGAATTATGTCTTTTCTTCTTGGTGTCAAATTGATACCGATCTATCTATTATGGAGGAAAAGTTTCTGATGTGCTAAAGTAAGACTTTGCTGCCATCTAGAGGAAAAGTGGCAAAATGCCAGAAGGTGTTTGTTATGAAATCTGATTCAACTTCAAGTCAATGACTTCTGAGATATATATATATATATATATATATATATATATATATATATATATATATATATATATATATATATATATATATATATATATATATATATATATATATATATATTACAAGCATTTATTTCTGCTTATTTAGATCCATCAATCTATTGTCTAGGCTGGAGGTCTTCAACAGGGCTCCACGACCCCTAAGAGGTCCATCACATGTGGGTTGCGAACATTTTGGGGGTCCTTGGCCTGGAAAACGTTGAAGAACCCTGCATTAGAGTATATAATCATAGCATTTTTCACTTACATTCTGGGTTTTGTGGAGTTTATGTTTATATCAATATTGCAAATGATTATAGTATTGACTGAAATAAAGAAATCTATCGTGATGTACATTTTGGCTATATTGTGTCGAGCGCTGTGAAAACAGAAGGACCCCATTTGCAGCAAGGCTCAAGGCTACCTTCTGTGCCACACACAATAATGACTGATGAAAACTTTAAATTCAGTATTTAAAAAGAAATGGACATTATATATGATCATAAATGACATTATTTCTAAACCCAAAATGTAAGCTTATTGGTTTTAAGTGAAAAAAAGTCAGTGTACTGTGAATTAAATGCATTGAGTACTTTATTGAGCCTCTTTTTGCCTGGATTGCTGTTTCCCAATAGAGGGGCATGGATGTGATCAGCCTGTAATAAGGCCCAGGTTGCTCTTATAGAATACTACATAGTCTTTATGGGGTTCAGGTCAGGCCAGTTTAGGGGTCAATATACACAAGATACTGGGAATTTAACAGATAAATAAATGTACTCCTCTCCCTTTATTTTGGTTTTATTTTAGCTGAATTAAAAACCTCCATGTAGGTTATCGCAGACAAGCCTTTAGACAAAGAAACCAGAATAAGCTCAGATAAAAAGTGGCCACGCATGAAGACTTCTGTCAGAGTAGGTTCTAATTTATAGTTTTCTTTCTATGGTGGTTTTTTTGTTTTCATTATTTCATTACACATAAATCTACAAATTTGGGCAAGAATGTTTGATAATATCCTTTAGTCCCAAATCCCCAAAGAGTCTGAGCCTCTCTGCTCCTACTGCACCACAAGTCCAGCCATCCCTTGTTTTGGAGCTTCCTGAAATCCAATTGTAATGGTAACAAGGAGAAAAGATCCCAGACATTCTTCCCTTCACTGATCCTGTCCAACTTATTTTGTTGGATTCAAAGGTGTTCGCATACTAGATGGGATATGTGTCCTTTCATCAGATTCTTGGTCAACTTTAGAGGCTTCTCCCAAATAGAAATGCCTAGAAAATATTTGTAGAGCATTTCTGAAATATCCTGATCAGAAATACCTCAACTAATGACACATCCTCTGACTTTATCCTTCAGACAGAGCTTACCACAAGGCTCATCTCAAACTTATCTGCTTTGTTGTTCTTTTGGGGAAAACTGTCACTAATCTAGCTGACAGCCATCGGATGTTGGGGAGATGCTTTATTTCCTGCTCTAAAATCACCAAAAAATGTTCCATGGTATTTTACCTGAAATATCTATTTGATTTTATATTTTTTTTATTGTTCATGTTTCTCTCCCTGTTGTCCATCTTTGTTACATCAGTGGCTTATGTGACGGCCTCATCCAGGACATCATCTACAGCTACTTGGTGCTGCCGAACCGGCTCAACATCCCCCTGGTGGGAGAGGCTGAACTGGCCAGGATCCGCTTCCCCATTCCACAGGTATTACACCCAAACATAGAACTTTCATAATATTGGAACCTTGTTCTCTTTGAATCAGAAATCTAAGATATTTCCTTTTTTAATACACAACAGTAACAGTTCTTTAATATAAAAGATGTAAAAATATACCATCTTTTCTGTTTCTTTTGTTGCATGTCAGACCTGTTTAGCTGGTGTAGTCTACAGGTTAGATTGCTTATGATCTTTGCATGTAGATCAACTTAGTTCTTATAATTTTTGAACTCTAATCAAATATATTTTTGGTTTAGACATAGATGCGGCACCTTAGCTGAACGGCTCAACTTTTCTCTAGTTAAGAACTGCTTGAACAGCGTTAGAGGAGATTGTGGAATCAGACATTTACCTTTTTATGAAACCTAGCTTTAAAGTGTTAACAGCTGCTTGTATAGAACATACACAAACCCCCATTCTTATTGCACCAGAGAACTGCTTTTCATCTACTTTTCTTCCACTTCCACTCATAAGGCCTTGCTAAGAGTCCACTTCCTGGAGGCCCAGGACCTGCTGGGTAAAGACAAGTTTCTGGGTGGACTAATCAAAGGCAAGTCTGACCCATATGGAAACCTCAAGCTCGGGACAAACGATTTCAAAAGCAAAGTCAAAAAAGAGACTGTAAATCCGAAATGGGACGAAGTTTTTGAGGTGAGTGGTACTCAACGGTCGTAGCTACCTGTTTTTTGTTTTTTTTTTACCTTAAAGCTGAATAAGTGTAATGATTTCCATTCAGATGTTTGTTGCTTTACATTTATGATCCAGTTTCCTTTTGTTATTATCCTTGTCCCTGGGGATTTCATTGAAGAGCGCATTCATGCTGGTTTGTGTCTTCTCTTTTAGTTCCTGGTTTACGAGAATTCGCCAAAGAGTCTGGAAATTGAGCTGTTTGATGAAGACCCAGATGAAGATGACAGATTGGGAGGGTACGAATAGTTTGTCATTACTGTAATAATTTTAAGCTTCACATAAAACACCTTTTTTTAAATTAAACAATTATAAAACTTTTCAAAAGCTTCAGTTTTTAAGCTGATGTGTTGTTTTTATGATTTGTCTTCCAGTGTGATGATTGACATTGATGAGGTCAAGAAGTTACAAATGGTTGAGGAGGTAATCGCCCTCTTCTATGGACTGTCCTGTTCTTTCACCCATGTGGCCATTGTCATTCTCTTATACTTATTAATTACAATTGTTAAATTTCCTTTTTATAAAGGAAACATCACCTTTTTATGACCTTCCCATTAAAACATCTTGTATAAGTAACAAGGGCGTAAATCCCCACAACAGGTGATGCACCAATATGAACATCTAGGCTAATATCAGTGTTCAACATTAATCTTACTCTTAGGTCATATTATTTATGTTTAGTACACTTAACGGCCCTCATGTCAAAAAAATTTAAATGCTTCTCAAAATAGTTTACTCTCCCTTTATGAGGAGGATTTATTCTGCAATTTTAAATGTCATCAAGCGTCCCTGCGCCCATGCATCAATGTGTTTTGAAGTTTACTTTGTCATGAAACGGGACAGAGGGACCCAGTATTCAAGGTGAGACAGTCAGTAGGAAAGTTCAAAACGTCTATTAATGTAAAAAAAAATAAACTGAAACTAAAGTGGAGCTGCTAGAATCTGCGGCTCATGGATGTCGGGGCGGGGCACTGCCAAACCTCTGGTTAAACAGTCCAGTCCATCTCTCTGGAAAGGGGAGCAATCCAGCTGCTGGACTGAAGGCTGTCGCAGCATGCGCCACCCAGAGTGTCCCCGGTGCAGCAGCTCCGGAGGACTTGCAGGAAGCCGATCCTGGACAGGGTTTTAGAACAGGCAGGAACAGACAGAACAGGCAGGTACCAGGCATCATAGAGCTCCTAGGCAGGTTCAGAGTCCAGAAGCTTGGCCAGACAGACACGCACAGAAGCAGACAGGATCAGGTGCAGACAGGCAGGCTCAGTGAAAGAGGGTAGCAGAGACAGGACGTGGAACCAGAACTTGAGCAGGACCTTTAAACTGGTCTCCACCTTGGAGCCAGGCTTACTGGAATAAAAACTGATCCTCCCCACATAAAGAGCCAAAATCCCTTAGGACTCAGCAGGGGAGGAATAGTGGACGAGCAGGAGACGAGACAGACACAAAACCCTCTGTCCTCTGGCCGCCAGGATCCAGGACAGAACAAACGGAACTGAACAGACTGAACAGAAAACAACATCTAGTGATCTGGCCATGATAGCTGGAACTGAACCCAATATAAGGCAAACTGGCAGGTGGATGAGATGAATGATAATTAGGAGCTGGAAAGAGTGAGGCAGGTGAAAGGCATGAGTAATTAAGGCCAGCTACCACAGCATGACAGACTTTGTTGTGAGGCTCTATGACCACTAGAGGGCAGCCACAATAATCTGCTCAGAGATATAAGCAAAGGCAGCTAAATAGGCAGAGCTGTTATCTTAATAATGGAAAGCCTTTTCTTTTCTTTTGTGGAATAAATTTTGTGGTCAACTGTAGAAATATTACAGGAAAGGATCTCCACAGACTGAGCTGTAAAGTTATACAATCAGATATTAAGACTTTTCCCTCTTCTCAGTGGTTCTCTTTGGAGGATGTGGCCCGAGGGAAGCTGCACCTGAAACTGGAGTGGTTGTCTCTGCTGTCCTCACCGGAGAAACTGGACCAGGTAGAACTACACAGCTTTACAAGCAGCCCAGCCTGTGAATAGAGCCAGACGAGCTGCTGTAAGGCAGGAACATGTAACTCACATTGCATAAAAATGTGACTCTATTCTGTTCTGGGCTCCGTTTAAAGGCACTGGCGAGCATCAAGGCAGACAGAGCTCATGCCAATGACGGGCTGTCGTCTGCAGTGCTGGTCGTCTTTCTGGATTCAGCCAGGAGCCTGCCGGTGAGTCCGTTTGGTTTATAATCACTGAGTCAACCTTCACCCTATGGAAAACCTGTTGATTTTTGGTTATTTTGCTTTAAATGGGACAGATTAATCGGTTTTAAAGACTACTCAGGGTTTATCCTATGAATCTTTTTTATTTTTAGTTTAGAGAAAATGTTAAAAGTTGCAGTTGATCTGACCTGCTAAGTTCCCCGCTAATCTACTTTCATCCTTTCTTTCTGCCTTTTTTTCCTCCATCTTATCTTAAAAGATGAGACAGTTTTATTTAGATGTATTGGTGTTCTTATGTTAGAGTGGTTAATTGGCTAAACTACAACTGTAAAACTGGATTATATTATTTAATTTTATTTATTCGTCCAGTAAGCAAACCACATTCAGGAAACTAAATTCAACCAGAGGAGCACTAAAAGTTATAATTTTGAGTTTTCAGTAGCCTTTTAACTTGAGTGAAAATATGTCATCCTAACATACAAAAAGATCATTTCACGTCAGAACTGTTTAGCATTAAAGACAATTTTCTAACAAATTTAACTTTAAAACATTTTAAGAAACAAATTCAGTAAAATCTTATGAAAAATGCTTCCTCTCAATTGTAAAAGCTCTTTTTTAGAACATTCTCTACACAGACATCTTAGATGATTGCAACCAATTATTTTTCATTTTCTTTGGACCTTTTAAGCATAGCTTGCTTTTAGAGCAGTTAACCTATAGGTCCCTTGCTACAATTGGTTAATATTAACCTTATCTAGTTAGATTTTTTTCACTCAGAGCTTCAATGCAATATTTGATAAAAAAAATTTGACTTAAAAACAGCTGATATCAGCTGCAACTTAGTTTGGGTATATTTTTTTTTCATCTATATGTTTTATGGGAAAGCATTGGTTTTCTTTAGATGTATTTTCACTCAGCATCTTTAAGATAAGAAAAGTGTTTTTTTTAGAGGTTTAGATCAACAACAGGCTTCACTTTTCTCCTCTCAGCCTCCTCTGCTTTTTCTTTCTTTTTCCCCCTGCATCTTCTTCTCCCTCTGAAGAGCGTCTTCGAGGGGAACTTGGGTTCAGGCTACTTAAAAGAGAGACGGTCGGCTGGCCTTGTGTTTTGTGAGAACACATCTTCTCTCTATAGGAGCTTATTTGTGAGTCCCATAGCTGATTTCTGCATCCTAGATCAGTATGGAGAATGCTGAGGAGTGATTCAGTCTCATTTTGCCTGAACAGCATGAATCCTGTTTAGTGCATGAGTTTGGATCCCTGTTACCATTATACAGTTAGGGCTTTTTGGGTTGACTTAGTCCAAAGCCAAAGATTGGTCATAACAATAAAAGAACATCAGAAGAAAGAATTGACAATCAACAGCAATCTTCCTCCTGGACCTCTGCCCAGCACAAGAGTCATTTATTACACAAAAGCTAGCACACACTATACATGAATATGTGTTTTTTTTATGCTTTTCATTTGGAAATATATTCATACACTTTAAATGTTTTCACATTTCTCACATTACCCACATAAAATTAAAACCTGTACTTATCAGAGCATGTGAGCGGAGCGAGTGGTGGAGTGGAGCGGAAGAAATATGGTGGAGCGCAGAGCGGTTTTCAATTCAAAGGCCAGAGCGAGGATTTCGCTCCGCTCCAGTTCGCTCCGATGCGCTCAGAACATCCATTAAAAATGTTTGATTATAATATTTGTAATATAACATTTATTTGATTTAAGTGTGAATAAAAATAGGGATAAAATATCATAAAAAGATCAACTAACTATACTTAACAATACAAATTCGCCAATTCGCCAATTTTGGCGAAACAAAACAAGCTCTCCACAGACGCATGGCCCAACACAGAAGAGCGGCCGGCTCTGGACAAGACTCCGCAGTACACTTACACCTTGTGGACAAAGGACATCCTTTTGAGGACCAGAATGTCCATATTTTGGATAAAGAAAATAGGTGGTTTGAGAGGGGCGTGAAGGAAGCCATCTATGTTAAGAGAGAAAAACCAACTTTAAACAGAGGTGGTGGACTCAGATTCCAGCTTCCAAAAACATACAATTCAATCATAGACATGATCCCTTCCAGATATCACCAAACCCCCCACCCCATCACAGAGGAACGAGGGACCTACCCGCCCCAGCCGGTGAACAATACCTCCTTAAAGACCAACCCTTAACAATCATAGACAGGTTTCAGGTATTACAGGAGACAATCCCCCCCTTAATGGCAATCCCCCCTTTAACGACCGACCCCTAGAATCATAGACAGGTTCAGATATTACAGGCTAACGATGGAACTAACGACCCAGTCATCGGTTACCATTGCATGTTTCCAAGTGATACAAGGCGTTGTCTATATAAGACTCAAACTCACTGCGGATCCAGACATTTGAATTGAGAAAGCTTCCTGGAGAGGTGGCGAAACGTCTTCAAATCTTGAAAACCAAGTCCAGTGGATATTTTTTGAATTTTTACGGAATTAACAGTCATTGAAAACACACAATACACATGTATCGGTCACATCATTATGTTGTCCCAACATGAGAGGAATTTCTTAGAAATACTGTAGAATTTGTTGGTGCAATACAAATAGCAATAAATATATCCCGACACGATACATCTTGATACATTAACAAAGACGATACTGTGATTTTTATAATGATACTGTCAGTAAACCTCAGCAGATGGCCGTTCACACTGAGCCTGGTTCTGCTGGAGGTTTCTTCCTGTTAAAAGGGAGTTTTTTCTCTCTACTGTCGCTACAAGCATGCTTAGTGTGAGGAATTGCCTTTGAGTTAATGAGTCGAGGCAATCAATTGTTTTTTTTCTTAGATAGAGAACTTTAAATCAGTTTGACTGTATAATCTGGTTGAATTGTAAAGTGCCTTCAGATGAAGTGTTTTGAACTGGCGCCATATAAAAATAAACTGAATTGAATAATAATATAGCTCTGCAAAACCTGACAACATATCTTTGTTGCTGTACTGTGGGTGATGTGGAGCAGCTGAATAAGAAAATAAAATGGAATTTAGCCTTTACATTTAAGATCAGTTTGAATATGGTCTAATGAAATACAGCGATATTTAGCATTGGGATATTTTTAATAGTATCTCATATATATCATGCTGGTAAAATAAACAACTAGGTATGCTATAGAAAAGCTCGACTCCCCCCTCTTGCAGTCGATCTTATGCTCCCAAGACTATTGAAGTTTCCATTTATCCAAACCTAATTTATAATTTGTTTTTTTATAATAAAGTAACATTCATTAAGGGTTGTACAGTAATAATTCTGTCTATAACAAGCATCACAGTAGAGACATCAGAATCTGTTACTTTACTGTCCTTTCCACACTCATTTGTTTGAGAGCAAAGTATTTTTGGTTGTTTTTTGTTCCAAGACTGAAAATTAATCCATTAAGCTCCTATCTGGAGCCATTCACACAGAAGCCATGCAGGAGCCAATAATAACATGGCAAAACTTTTAAGACTCACTGGCTTTTTTGGATCAGCAGTCAGCGAGTATCTCCAGTTAAGCCGATCATAAGCAAGGTTTTTTAAAACCTAACATTTGGCATTATATTGATCTATGTGACTCAAGTCTAGCTATATATTTTTAGGGTAGATATGAAATGAAATCGTTTGTTGAAGCTGGTAGTACACAACCACTCATACATACAAATAGGAAACTTTTGTTGATCAGTATCTGAATGCCACTAGAGGGAGCTCTCCCCCATAGTTTGAGAAACCTATTTCTTGATTTTAATGTGAATTTTTAAAATTACCGAATTCATCTGATTTTCCAGTAAAGATTTCTCTAAATTCAACCTGAATGTTTTTTTGTTTTTTTAATTATTATTATTGTTATTGTTATTCCGCTCCACCTGTAGCTTCATTTAATTGGGGAATGTCATTAACCATATAATCATCCATGTTGTCTCTTTGTCTCTCTCACCATGTGGTTGCATCCCAATCCTTTGGTGATGCTGGCGGTGATGGTGTGTTTCCTCAACTTCTCCACCTCTTCCTCCCTGCATGCCCTGTTTCCTCCTAAATAACCTCCCGGTGTGTGTGTGTGTGTTTCTGTATGTCTCACTCTCTTCTGCCTCACTTCACTGGGGGAAAATCAAAGCGCAATCCATTAGAGTTCAACCATGCGGGGCTGAGGAAGGCCTCGGTCAGTAAGGCCATCAAGGTAACAGCAACAGTGAACACCCATATGGTTCAGACACTGAAGCCTAGAGGAAACACTGAGACGCCTCCACAAACACATAATTACCGTAGGATCAGCCTCTACATCTGGAGAATGGTTCATCCTCCAGATAAAAGTATTTTAAAGGCACACTATGCAACATTTTTCAGTTAATTAATGTGTTCCATAACGTTTTGGATGATTAAATGAGTCATTTCAGGTCGGAACAAAGGTTTTCTCGGCCGCCCTGGTGGTCTGTAGGGGAAATGCCGTACTTGCAATTGCAGGAGCCCTCGGCCCGCACCAACAGGCTCAGAAGTCATGTGCATCGCGAGAGTCGGTCTTGCTTTACGGCGAGAACTTGGCTAACTACAATCTTTGTTATTTAGACACATGCATAACAAATAATGTATGAAAACATGCTAAATTTTCAAACTCGAAAATTGGAACAAAATAGTCACTTACCGTAGTAGACATGATGATTCGTTGCGTTCTCCTGACTGCTAAGCTCAAAACAACCGCGCCTGGCTTGACGGAGAAACCAGGAAAACAGCTGAGCATATTTACGACAGTGCACTTTTACTTTCGCCCTCTGGGGGGAGCCTCGCTGGAAAATCAACACCGGTTGCATAGTGTACCTTTAATCCATTCAAAGCTGCATATCCATTGGCTGCTCCATTTACTGACCATCATGTCAGCTGACTAAAAATGTGTCTAACAGTCTGTGTCATATATAACAGCATAACTGCCTGAGCTACATTCACACTATTTGATTCATTTTTCTTCTTTTTAATTGATTTGGTGGGTTTTTTTCTGGACTTTTGGGTCATGGGACTTTTACCTGTTCTTTCCCAGAGTTTCTGTTCTAGATAAAGCTTGATAACATTTTATTAAAACTGAAACGGAGATATTATTTGTATCATCTCTTCAAATTGTTGTAGGTATACCTTTTAGAAAATGCTGTTCTATTTTCCTTAAATTTTTTCTGCACTCTTTCTCCTGCAGTCAGGTAAAAAGGTGGCCAGTGATCCCAGTCCATTTGTCCAGTTCACAGTGGGGCACAACTCCTTCGACAGCAAGGTGAGACCACAAGAGTCAGACTGTTTATTTGAACCATTGTTATTTAAAAAAGTGATCTAATATTTTGTGATTTACCCCTCAATTATAAACAAAAATCTTTTCTAGGAATAAATATGAGCTTATTTCATTTTGTTTAGCGCATAATTGCTGCTGATGTAAAGTACATTTTTAAAGTGTCAGGATAAAGAATTGGTGTCCAGATTCCTAACTGCCTCTCTGAGTAGCTGGCCTTCTAGACTGTTTTGATTTTTCCCTCTTTAAATTAAATTTTTATTTTTCTAGATCAAGTATAAAACCAATGAACCAGTGTGGGAGGAAAACTTCACCTTCCTCATCCACAACCCTAAACAGCAGGAGCTTGAGGTCAAGGTGAGCAGGTGTCCATCTAGTCTGTATCTCCAGGCTTCCTCCTGAATTCTCCGCTGAGTTTTTGTTTTTTTTAACCCTTGGTCTTTCAGGTGAAGGATGCAAAGCATGATTGTGAGTTGGGGACGTTGGTTCTACCTCTGACCCGCCTTTTAGAAGAAAAGGATATGACTCTGAGTCAGCGCTTCCCCCTTAAGACCTCAGGGCCAAGCTGCGCCTTAAAAATGAAGATAGCTCTGCGGGTAAAACATCCACGATATGAGGAAAAAATAGGTCACCTTTCAGTCAAACTATTACATGTTTTTAAGCTTTTCACTGTTTGTTTTTTTCTCCATCAGGTGTTGTCTCTTGAGAAGGACGCCAGCTCAGCATCTGGCTCCACCCCCCCATCAGTGCAGGTCCGCAGGTCCAGTTCTGCAGACCCTACTCCACGACCTTCTATTTCCTCACAATCCAGCAAGCCTCCCATCAACACCTCCGAAGTGCCTCGCACCTCCCCCACCTCAGCTCAGGACCTACAGAACCGGAGAAGGGAGTCAGAAGTGAAGTCTGTGGGAAGCGCAGACTTGGAGCAGGCTGGTTATGGAAGAGGCGTAGGTCAAAGCTTAGCTGAAACTGGGAAGAGCATGTCCTACCTGGCTATCTCTGGCTCCCAGCAGCTGCTGGATGGAGGCAAGGAGCCAACGCCGAGCATCGCCTCCGATATTTCCAACCCCTTTGCTGCTCAGGAGCTGGAGCAGAAAATCCAGCAGCTGAAGTAAGTATCACTACTGCACCTAATTTAATAAGAGATGGGATGTTTGATCCCAGGTTTCCATTGTTTCATAGGATTGGTAGTTCTTAGGAGAGCAAAAAGTGCAATGAAGTAAAGAGCTTTGGAAAATAGATTGTGCTGAGTTTTTTTAGTTCAGTATAGTCAGGGAGAGAGGCAGCTCCATGTAAAAAAAAAAATCCCTGCTTTAAATCTGTGGGGGGGGGGGGGGTCCATTATCTTATGCAGGCCAGTTAGTTATACATCAGCCTAAACAGATAAATTCAGCCAATCAAATTTTTTCGGTCATAGCATCTTGATTCATATATTGCAGCTAATGTATGCAATGGTTGGAATAAGAAATGAGAAACCTTTCCCATTGAGTTCCGTCCCAGTGTTCACGGGGATGGACGTCTGTGTCTTCAGCAGGCGTAGAGCTAACAGAACTGGCAGCGTTGCGAGGCAAGGGCTCAAACATGTACGGCTGTCAGCCTTCTACACCAAACCAAGCTTCTGCTGCCCTGGCGTCCTCTTCCACAACATCTTCATCCCCGCTTTCCTCCTCTAAATAAAGAATGTATGATGGAGGAGACTCATCCACGACCTCCGACACTAAACTCTCCTCCACTTGCATGTTTCCTCTGTCCATAGCGTTCCTTGACAGTGTTGTTTCTAAGTCACCAATTTAGTGCTACTTGGTCCCAATGGAATTTTCCATTGGGAATCTACTAGCACTAAGTTGCTAACTGGTTAGCAAAATGCTTCCGAGACAACGGCTACAACCAAACGTTCTTGCAAACCTTCCGCCACAACAATCCCGCCCCGTTGATCAATCACATTCACTTTATTCACTCTTGTAAAGTCGGGCACCATTCGGAAATGCAACGGTTGGAACAGCTGCTTCCCTACAACTTTAAGGGTTTCTCTCCTCTCTCAATGGTTTGAGAATCTGCTGCCATGATTCTCTTTCCAACTGGTCAAATATCACATCAGACCCTAAAATACAATTTCATAACACTTTAAAATAATTATTATTACATCCCAAGCAGCCCCTTTTGGTAAGAATATTGTACATCCTGAAATTGCAATGACCTTGAACCTCCAGGTTTAGTCACCCGATAGATACTGGTAACAGTTCTGCTGTAAAACTAAGCCTCCTTCTGTTTTTTTTGGAATCTGATATCTGTGACAAGACTCATTTAGTGTCAGATTCATTTGCAGAGAAAATAAATTTATATTGTTTTTACTTTCTTTCTTTTCATAGATTTCTTTCTGTGTGACACTTTACCACAGCTTACTTGTCTCTAAATGTGAAAGAGTAATTGATGCTGGACTGAGCATTGGAATGGTCACCATGAAGTCACAAATATTTATATAAAGATCTAAATCAGAGCAGCATTCAAGCCACAACTACAAAAAGTGTTTACATTTTGCATCATTTGGCATTTAAGGAAAATACGGATTTCAGCATTTTTTCAAATGCTGAATGCAAAGGAGAACTCTTCATGCACACTCTTGTTTGTGATCTTTTGCAAAGTCACTGTTTAGATCCATCAGAGAAGGCTAAGATCATGTAATTTTGATGTCAGAACTTTTTCAGCTGCAGATGCATCTTTTGCTACATGTGTGTTCTCTAAAGACTTGCTGTTATTGCTCTATCCAGTGTTGATTTTTTTTCCAATAGCATTGTTTACTTATAATTTCTTATTTGTCGTATTTCAATTTTACGTTTTTGAGAAATGGTTTTCTGTTGTGATTCTAAGGAACTGGAAATAGACATCTGTTATGATGCCAAGCCAGACATAGCTTGCTAACCTGATTTCTGTTTACATGAAGTGGTTCAGCTTCTAGCCACTTCCCTCTGGGTGAGATCCAGCTGACCATCCGCTACAGCTCGCCGAGGAGCAGGCTCATTGTGGTTGTTCACGCATGCAGGTATGTGGCTGTGAAAACGATCACAGGAAAAACCCACTTTTTTTTAGCAATATGTTTTAACAATTGTCCTGCCTGCCCCTGCAGAAACCTGATCTCTTTCACTGATCACGGCTCTGACCCTTACGTCCGCCTCTACCTGCTTCCTGACAAAAAGAGGTCAGGAAGGAGGAAAACTCACACATGCAAAAGAAATCTCAATCCCACCTACGACGAAACGTAAGTCAGACTATTGAACGGTTTCTCACATCCTTACTGTGATTGAATTCATCATAGCTGGGTTTCTCCTTCCTGTTCAGGGTTGAGTTTAGCGTCGGCTCCAATGAGTACCACAAGCGAATTCTGGATGTTGCAGTGAAAAACGGCGGAGGTCTGCTCTCCAAAAACAGAGGTCTTCTAGGAAAGGTTTGCTTTATTATTCTTGTTCCAGTAGATTCTTTCCTGAGCAGATCTTAAAATTAATTAAAGAGCTTGTGGTTTTTGGTAAGATCTGTTGAGGTTTTACCTTGTTGTCTTGAAATTCAACCTCTCAACATCCGCCTAAAATCTTATTTAATAAGGTAAATGTGTATTTTTTTGTGTGTTCTCATCAGGTTCTGGTTAATTTAGTTAATGAAGACATCAGTAAAGGTTGGACAGAATGGTAAGGTTGCTTTTTTTGTAGTTCTTTCCTCCATACTTAAAGTGCTACTATTGTTCATCTTCCAATTAACTACAGCTGGAGAAAAGCAGGAAGTTTGAAGCATCGATGCATATTAGGCAGATTTTAATGTGAAACTCAATTCTTTACTCAGCTTCAAAAAATAATGTTTTTTTTTTTATTACTAGTGTTGCGCTGATGCCATTTTTTGGCCCCGATACCTGACTGTGAAGTATTGACCGATACCATCTGTTTGAAATTGATGTGTGTGTGTATAAATATGAAGAACTACATACTACTAGGATGTAAAATAATTGCCATCATGGCTTTGTGAAGCTGCTGCCTACCTTTGTGAAGCAGGAGACTAATACAAAGTGAATCCAGTAGAACTTTTTATTGCCTACCTGGAATGGGTGACAATAGTTGAATAAACTTTTGGCTCTCAAAATTGTATCTGTGCCGTATTTGATGGTACTCACGATACCGATACCACCATTTTAGTGCTGGTTTGGGGCCCCGTCTGATACCGGTATCGGTGCAACACTATTTATTATCCTGGGATACGTAGCATCTTAAACAAAATTTAAAACAGTAAAGCAGCACATTAGTTCAAATCTGCTAGAACTGTGTTCTAAAATGAGTCTCTACCTGTAAATAAAATAAAGTTGACTATGACAATAGCGGTAATGCTAATTGAGTCTTTGACACTTTAGTATCAAGTAAAAAGACTGATTGCTCCAACTTTATTGTCTTCAGCGAGCAGCGAGAGCTGCTGTAAGCCCCTCCCACTTCCAAAACACTGACAGGTGTCTGCCAGTCAGCCTCGCTCTGCAACACACTTCATGCAGTCAAAGGAGGGAAGAAAATATGTGCTGTCTGCTTTTCCATTTAAAATTATTCACTAACTGATTCACTCATAGCCTCTATCATTAATTCACTGATTTTTGAAGCAGATTTTGCTTTTTCTTCCTCCATTTACATGATAGAAAAGACACAATAATAAATGTTATCCCAATCTAAATTTAAGCAAAATAGAAACCTTTAATAACAATCAAACATTAAATTAACAATGAAAAGCGGATAGAGGAAGCTATAATGCATGTTCTTTAACTTTTTTTTATCTCAAATTAGCTGCAATAATAAATCTGCAAACGTTAGCACGTATCGATAAAAACATTTTTAAAAAATCAATAAAATGCCGTCCAGCTGATGTCTTGGTCCATCTACAATGTTAAGCTGGTTGTGTTTGTTTCAGCCCTCTTTCCTAAATTCCCCCCTAAATTCAACGAGAGCCTAGTTTTAATTTAACCTCAGTAGAAATACAGATGTTATATGATTTTATTAGTAGTTTATTACGGATCATTAGCATCATGTCAACCAAACGGGGGCAGACCGGCCCATTTTTCCTCATATTTTTATTTATGTGCAGTGATTCACCATAAAAGTATATTTGGAAAGAAGCTGAAAAAAAAAAATTTTATTGGAGTTTTGATTCTTCCATTGGATTGACCTTGCCTCCCAAAAGGTTCCATCTCATTTGTTTCCGAGCAGATCTTCAGCTTTCTTCTTACGGATCCCATATGTGCTTTTAGTTAACGTGCTTTCAAAACGTTCATTTCTAAATTCTAATAAAATCTCTTTATGCCGCAGGTTTGAGCTGACTAAAGACGGTTACCCGAGACCGCAGCCTTAAGTCTTCGTCGCATCCAAGAGTATAACCATCACCACAGTTCCGCTTATGTCCACAGTACATTTTTCCTGTTGTGTTCATGACATGTTAATGCAAACGGTTAGAGAAAAGCAGCTTTTAAACACTCATTCATCACATCAGTCGCAAAGGCAAGACTTCCCTTTAAGAAGTGAGTTATTGACTAAAGCAGCATAGAAATGTAAAAAGGTATATATTAAATGTGCTGAGACAGAGGTTTTATCCTATATTTATAGACACTAGAACAGATTTATTGCTGTTGTTATATACACTATATATGTGTGTTTGTATATAGTGTAAAATGATGTTGGACTCCAAAGCGGTTTGTATTCTGCACATATCAGAGGTGTGGTGTCTTCATTGCCAAAGGATTGTGTGTAATTATATCAGATTTCTTTTCTTATTTTGATATAAATGTTCTCGATTTTTTTGTTGAAGTTTGGGGGGGAGGGGTAATTGCACCAAAGAGAGTATGTGGTTGATTTGAATTGTCTATATTCTGATAACTCGACTAAACGCTGTCTTTCTAGCTCTGTAATGAGCAGACTATCAAGCACGAGTGAATGAACCAAAGGGTTGGAGCTCAGGAGATGGAGCTCGTTCAGCGTGTGCAGAAACACTCAAGTGTTACCTTTTTTTTTTTTATTGAATGTGATCATTTGCACATGAATATTTTAAAATCTGATTACAATCATTAGTATTGTCAACATTACATCCCGAGGAGTGAATGAAAATATCCATAAAATCGTTACTATTTAGGACCGACTGTATTTAAAGGGAAGACATTTTATTAAGACGACGCCTGTTTTTATTCTACATCACAGCAATTTACTCACAATCGAGATTGAAGACACAGACAAAACCTTTGAAGTTTTTTATTTTTTGCTTACTACATGTTGTAATAGTTCTGGTGAATAAAACAACCAGCCAGTAAGTTAATCTGTGATGTTGAGCCAGACTGTTTCCACCATTCGATCAGTTTGTAAGCTGAATTAACAGCTGATGGCATCGATACTGATGTTTATTTCAACATACAGCTGAGCTCTGCACTTGGGGATGTTACCTTGTTTGTCTTCATTAGATCACAGCCACTGTGTGAAATATTTTCAAATCTTCCTGCGTAGAAGTTACTTTCCAATTTCAGTATTGATTTTACTGGTTTTAATTTGGACAAAGCAAAACTTTACCTTCTTTTTTTTTTATTTAGGATTTCAGTGATTTAAAAATGATTTGGAGTTTCTGTGAGTTATGAAAGGTCAATAAAAAATGAGGCATTTATTTTTATAACTATTTAAGTTAGGATAGTTATGGGCAAAAATAGAAAATGTCAAGAATGTTAGTTTCCAGACTTTATTCCATATTCTGGTAAAATAAAAAAATCCAACAAATGGTTTTATAAGGGACTCTAAGTTTTTGATAATTAAATTTTAAACGTCTGTGGAACCGGAGCTGGATTTCAATCACATGTGGAATAGAGCCTTAAAATTCCCTATTTAGGGTTTTTACAGCGTAAAATCCTAACAAACAGAATCAGGTTTTAAGACGAATGATTTTAAATAGAGGTGCCCAAAGGTGGTCCAGATGTTTAATAGCTGTAAAATATCCCTGTAGCATCCAGCTCCATCATGTGGTTTCATGTTTAGGCGCACAAAAAAACAGATTACGGTAGTAAAGAATGTTTTGTTTTTAAGATTTTGGAAATTAAATCTGGAAAAGTATCACATTTTGCTTAAATAGAAAGGCAAACCAAATCGGGTTAATGAATTACTTTACTTTACTAAAACAATCTACATGTTTTTTCTTAGAAAACATTGATATGATCCACATAAGGAACTCCAACACAGCAGGGCGTCACATATAGAGGCAGTTGGGATTCAGTTTTTTCTTTTAGTAGCTTCACTATATAGCCACTCCGACCTTCTTCCCTTCTGCTTTCAGTGAATAAGTCATTTGGAAACATGGTGACTTTACTAATCCACTAAAAGATTTACTCAATGTTTTCCATCTTGGTGGAATCTACACATAGTGGCTTTAAAAACTGGTTAAAAAGTCTAAAAATAAAAGTATTTTCCAGCTATGCAGTCCAACAAAGGGAGGTGTCTGTCACTGATGTTAAAATAACTGTTTCCTCACTTCGATCTGTGTTTATAGAAACATTCAGTCTTAAATTATTTTAAATTTTTTCCTACTATATCCAGACATTATATTGAGCAGTTCTTTAACTTTGCCGCTCTGCTTCATGATTGGTTGATATCAGCAGCATCATATGAGGCATGCTGGAGGTCTATGTATGAAACTCTTTAAATAAATCTGCAGCTGTTGTTCTGCACACTATAGAAGCAGCCGCTTTTAGGTTGACAGCCGGGATGTTAGGTTGACCTTTGACCTTAAAACAAAGAGTTCTGACATGTTGCGTTAACAGAAAACATCAAGAAAGTATTTTGAATGTGTGTATGAAGAGTTTATTTTGTCATTATTTCCTTTTTTTATGCCATTTTCCAGCTGTTTACTTTGTCTCCTCTGTGTTGTGTTACGTTCTCCTGGAGAGTTTGTCTTCCTAAATGCGGTTCTTCTTCATCTTTTTAATTTATCCTGTGCCTTACTAAACACATGACCTACAGATCTAATGTATGTAAGCTTGTTGACAAAGATGCAACCGGATGCTTCGGGTGTCTGAATGTCTTTTTAATGTCTTTAGAACTGAATAAAAAGCTTTAAATCGTCAGTAGCAACAAAGCTGGTGTTTCTCTGTGGTGTTTTTTCTTTTATGTAAGAGGCAAAAGTGTAAAAATAAGGCTGGGAGGAATTTTTACTAAATCATTTATTGGTATTTATTTTTCATAAATACCGCTGTGCCTGGCCTTGTGTTTTGGGTTACGCTTGTTTAAAAAGTGCTATTTAAATAAAGTTCAATCAAAACAGTACACAGTTATTTTGACATTTCTTTTATGTGTATAAAAATATTTAATTTGAAAAATTAAGCATGTCGTTTTTATTGAAACGGTATTTTTTTATGTGACTGAAAAAGCAAGCAGATGAAATTTTGAATCTACACAAAAGTCGAAATTATATTAACAAAAAAACACATTTTCAAAGTTACAAACAACTCCTGAGGACGAAATAAAAAAGGAAAACAAAAGTGATTATTTTAAAAGCTAGCACAGTAATAGGGAATCCGTTGTATGGTCAAAAAGTCAAGTTATTATTTTTTTCAGTCTGATGGAGTAGGAGGTTTTAACAGAAATCAGCACAAATTTTAAAATGTCATATTCAACTGAAAGATTTTTTTCTACATGCATATCACCTTTGTTGGGAGGATTTTGACATTGATCTTTTTAAGGAGTGCATATTTAGCTGCAGGGAGGAACATTAAGGCAGTTTTCGATTTCATATTTCTTTTCTCCATCAATTAGCGGGCAGTCTGCCTTAGGCTTTCCATGGAAATTTGCAGGAGCTTTCTGGCGACCGATATATGGACTGAAAATGCAAAAACACAAATTTGTCTTAAAACCTATTCAGCATGGATTCAGGTCTATTGTTTTAATAATGGCTTGCAGACTTGAAAACATACCTGTATTCGCTGTAATCAGGTTTACAGATTCTAAACCTCCTACGTGAAGACCTGGATCCACAGGGCGGTATGCAAAAAGACCAAGGTCCCCAACCTTCCCAGGAGCCTTTCACTGTATTAGACAATGTGATTAGTTTGTACATGACAATTTACTTAATAGTAGGGTAATTAGTCATAAAAGTAACAAACAACAAAAGCAGGAATAATTTATTATATGCATGTTCCTGAGTCTATCATAAATAATCAAATCAATGGTAAAATATTAGCGTTTTGGAATTCAATTAAGGAGGTTTTCTTTTTGTAAACAAAGATGTTTTAATCGCTGCTTCATTAAGTTGATTTGAAAAGGGAAAAAAGTTTTTAGGAAGCTAAAATGATCCTCAATATTTTAGAATGGAAAACAAAACCAGACAAAGGTGGAAAAAAGCAAAACAAAGTACAAATCTAGCGGGAAGCTGGAATGATCAGGTCCATGGAGATCTAAGGTGTGCACATAATGCTGAGTCCCACTCACTGATCTCTATTTGTTCACTGGATTGCTGATTGCCCGTTATTAGTACGGAGTTGAAGTGAAGCCAGCGGCCGCCATATTGGTACTCCCTTGTTAGACCGGTAGCAATGTAAACAATATGAAGCTACAGCATCTAACAACAATTATTTTCTCATTTTTAGGGGGGCTTAAGACTTTAAAGATAAAAATAAATGCATCACTTTGAAACACACTTGGTTTTTCACAGCATGAGTAGATTACTTTAACTTATATTAAAAGAAATAGGCACATCACATTGCATAGGCCATATGAAGTCAATAAAGTCTCTAAATCATGCAATATAACATATTATACAAATCCATCACAACAAAATGAATGTCCTAAAGGAGCAAAATAATACTAATGTGCCAAAAGTGCTAAATTGAGGATCAACATGTAATAGACATGTATTGATTACATTGTTGTGGTAATTACATATTACATATGACTTCAAGATTTTACATCAAGGCTGAATTCGAAGTACATGTCTGTTAATGCTGTAGTATCTTTCTATTTGGTAATAATGCATGAATGATGGCATGTACTTTTATGCCATGTTTGTGCATTAGCCTTTAAAAATGTTTTTGTTTCCTTTTCTTTATCAATATAACATGCAATATATTTACATGCATAACTTTTTCAAATGAGAAATACAACAAACATTACAAAAAGAACAGCATCATCCACTTAATAAAGAATTACTATATTGACATTTCAAGGTGAATTCATTTCTATTTATTCTAATTTCTAATGTTAGACACAATGTCAATCGTTAACTCAGACAATATCTTCGAGTCAGTCCGAAATAGCCAGCAAATGTTACGCTGCATACTTTACTATGGGATACATAGGCGTATATATGGATTATCGTAGTTAGCACATCGACTGACTGTGAAATTGCCTGTGAATCATCTTCTCACAGCCGGCAAACTGCTTGTTTTAGCGGTCAAATGCTACACATATAGGGATTTTTCCTGCGCATCTCTGCGGGAGTGGGGAGTACCAATATGGCTGCCGGCAGCTTCACTTTTTTCAGGCTATCAGCAATCTAGTAAATAAATAGAGATCAGTGGTTCCAACACAGTCCCCCTGTTCTAAAAGTAGACAATGGACTAAATGCACAACTCCACTACTCCTTTAACTTCAGCCAGCTCCTCTGTTTCCGGTTTTAAAATACTTGGAAAAATAATCAATCCAGGTGTGTCCAAATTTAGTAACCATGGCGACATTGGCCAGACACACCTGGATTAATGAATCTGTCCAGTAATGAAAGACAGGGAAGACAGGAGCTGGCTGAAGTTCAGCAAGACGTCAGGCTGGGTTTACAGCCCACTGCCAGAAAACGCGTGAACTGATCTGGAGAGACAAGAAGAAACGATTTGTGGACTTATGGAAGTAAAATATTTAATTTATTATAACTTTCTTTTTGTTTTTCACATCCAAAGACAACAAAATGTTTGTCAGATGAACCCCTAACTGAATTGAAGCGACCGTCCACTGGTTTAACTATTATGATCGGGAGATGTTACTCTTGCCTGTTTAGCACATGCAATGGATAACCCATCAGTATGCATATATGAAAACACTTGAAGAGATGTTATTATTATATGCCGTAACAGTAAATGCAGTGGAAATGGGTGTTTTAAAAATAAGCAAACAATAATCATCCTATTCTAGAATAATAAAATAAAACTAATGTGCTATAAAATCTGTTTGTACTCAACATATTCTCATTCCCAACTCAAAATCAGTTGTTCTATTTGCCAGAACTTTATCGACTTTGTGCAACACATTTGAAGTAGTTCTCAAGAACAGTAGTTATTTAACTAAATATTAGTTTTAGTGATTCACAAAAAGAGTGCAGGTTTATACAACACATTATTAAGTTTGTGTAGAACGATGCAGACGCTGCCCTAATGTTGGATAATGTAGGATCATTTTTGTTTTAAATAGTTTTTAGTGTCTGAGGCGACTGAGACGATAATCTCTGAATGTTTCCAGTTGTCTGGAAGTAGAAACCATTCTGAGCATCAACATTAGTTTAAATGAACTGCTGTTATTGATTGCCTTATATATCCCCTCCCCTGGCTACTGTTAGTGTGGAAACGTTAAAGATGTCTTTACTTACAATAGCACTTGTCGACATTGTAGCAGACCTGCGTCTCTGTCAACTTTCCTTCGGCACAGATGGCTCCATTATGAGCTTGATGGAGACACGTGCGGTTTCGAGTCTGCTTGCCACCTGTATGCAGGCAGCGGATGTCCCTTCCCCCCCAAGCGTATGTACAGTCACTCCACGCCGACCACTCAGACCACTCACCATTCACTGAAAACAGAAACGTTCTCCTGGTAAGTGGTGCTTCTGTTCATATTTTTAATAGGTGATGTTATGTGCATTTAGACCTTCACATGATACCCCTTTACTACATACATACAGTTCTATACTACAGCAGTAAATGTTCAGCTCTAGTAATGTAAGTCACATCTGTTTAATTTCCGACTGACAGTAAAAAATGGGAAAGATGGGAAATCAGACGTACCTGGGCAGTGGACTTGAGTGTAACACAGTTTGTTTTTTTTACTTTCTCCAGGACACGGGAGGCCACCGTGATTGGGAGCAGGGCTGTCGCACCTCCTCTCTGACACCTGGAGACCCACTCCACATGTAACAGGGCACTGACTGAAGGCTGACCAAGGACCCCAGTTGCCATTCACTAAGATACAGAGAGATTTATTAACTGCAACATCAAAGTCTTTGTCATTCTTTAGAAAACCTGGGAATTTTTTTGTTAACCTTTTGACACTTTGGATTTGCAATTACTAGGGTGGACAACTGCACTGCGAAAACAATCTATATTCTACTTTTTTCTTAAATTAAGTGTACTTCCCATTGAATTGAGTAGGCAAATAAGATGATTTGCCAAAGGAATTTGTACTTTTACTCTTAAAATAAGATATTTAGATAATATGCATTTGCAATTAGACAATGCAATATTTATTTCTTATTTTGAATGTAAATCGTCTTCTTCCATTAGCAAAGTGTCTCACTCACCTCCTCAATTCATGAAAAAACTGCACTTGCAGTATTTTTAAGAAAAAAAATGCCTTATTTAGATTTCAATTTGCCTGGCTTTGTGTTTCCTTGGAACTGGTTGACAGTTGCCTTTTGTATCTCTGCTTCTTTCTATATGTCTGCTTCTGTCTCCCAGTCGGCCCCTCGTCAGATGGCTTCTCACACTGAGGTTTTGCTGGAGATTACCTCCTGTTAAGTTAGTTTTTCCTCTCCACTGTCGCTACTATCATTCTTGGTGTGAAGGATTGCCTTTAAGTCGATGCAATCAACTGGTTTTCCTTAAATAGAAAACTTTGAATCGATTTGACTGTATGATCTGGTGAATTGTAAAGTACCTTGAAATGACATGTTATGAATTGATGCTATACAAATAAACTAAAATTAATTTAATATAATTTTTTGCAGTGCATGAATCACTTTTAAGGTCTATAGTTTTATTGAAAGATGAGTGGCTTGCTTGATGATAACAGATGGATAGTAGAACTTTTGCATATGGTGGCGTTCAGTGAACGGGTCTGTATCAACCATCTGTTCTAAGTATGTTGGATATTTTACTCTTTAAAAATATCATCTTAGGCTAAGTTAAGTAAAAATATTGAAGTTGACATCTTTTCAGATACCTACAGGTAGATATTTCCACGTACCTGTTGAAAGATCGCCCCTCTGAGTCCACCCTGAATAGCTAGTAATCACTACTCCCTAAACAAGTATTGTTACTCTCATAAGTTCACACCTAGAGCTTATTAATGAATCTTTTATCTTTGTCACCAAGAAAAAGATAAAAGTAAATTTTCCACATACATTTAAGCTTTAAAGAATGATTTTGGAATTTTAAGTGGAAGTCGGCCTGAGTTTTTCCACTAAAAGCTAAGGTGATTTAAAGGTATCCAAGTCCCGGTTCTTAGCCCTGGTCATGGGCTTACGTGAACTCGTATAAAGTCTGTATAAAGTACCTGGTAGATGTCATTAAAGGGTCATTTAATGATGATGCTATTAGATGTAAACCTGTGTTTGTTCCTTGAAACTACAAGAAGGAATCACCTTTATTCAGGGACTAAATGACCTCATGCTGACAAAAGGATATATCAGAGTCATTTTGAGGTGAACACAAGTTATCATCTCAAGATAGACTTCTTAAGGTCATCCTTGTTTCTTGGATTGAACATCTGCTGATTGTGATCAGCTCTAAAAAAAAAAAAAAAAAACAGGATTTCATTGTTTATGTTCTAGTTAAATTTAAAGAGGAATGGATGCAAACCTGAGCAATGAGGCAGGTTGCAGTTGGTCTTTTCCGAGTCGTCACCTTCACACCGTTTACCAGGTGGGTTTATTGAAGGTGCAGGGTTTGAGCAGGATCGGTGGCGTGTCCTAAATGTATCTCTGCTTGGGGAGATACAGGTAGATGAGCATTCACCCCAGTTTGACCAACCAGCCCAGAATCCATCAACTGTAAGACAAAATAATGTTCACATCACATCTATGTTTGAGCGTAATCGTTCTCATTACCGTCTTGTGGCTTACCAGGACAGGGACTTTTACAGACGGTACTCCGAGTGCTCGCCCCCTCACACATTTTGCCTCCATATTTAGGACTAGGGTTCTCACACCGCCGTGACTCTAACTGCAGACCCTCTCCACAGGTGACAGAGCATGGGCCAGGTTGAAGCCAGGGCCCCCAGTTGCCGTCCACTAAAGGAAGAGCAAATGCTTTATTTTTAAACTACAGAACAGATTAGATCATCAGTTGACTTCCTTTCTTACCTGGGCAATTAGGGAGCTCGCTGCAGTCCTGCCTTTCAGAGGCTTCCCCAGAGCAGGGATCGCCATGCGGCACCGTGTCCGGTGAGGGGGCCGGGTTGGAGCAGGTGCGCTGTCGTACTCTCGAAGGAACATTGGTATTACTGTCAATGCATGAACCAGAGCATCCAGACCAGGCTGTCCAGCTTGACCAACCTCCATGGACTAAACCACACAGAACAAAAAGGACAAAGACTTAGAAACCTTCTTTTGAACTTCATTAAATGGAGAAATAAATGCTGAACTTTTTAGATGAACACTTCCTGCCACAGAGCAGAGATCTGCCCACATGAAGCACTCTGGGTGCATTTGGATCAGTGGTTACTAACTAGTGAGCCCTGTGGACCGGCTTTGGGTCCATTAATTTTAAGGTCTGGGTTGACTTCACTTTATTGGAAGCTGATCTGAACCTATAATAATGTATCTACAATAGAAAGCAACCTTACCCGGACACTTGTTGCTAGCCTCACAGGGCTGTGTCTCCTCTGCAGGACCAACACATGATGACTGACACTCAGGAGGACTGGAGCAGACTCTCTGTCTCATTCGGGTTCCTTTTCCTTCACAGGTAACCGAGCAAGGAGTCCAGGGGTTCCATGAGCTCCATCCCAAATCTATTTCAAACATACACAAGGTAAAATGTTTTTTTTTTTTATTCAGAATAGAGTTTCAATTGATACATTTTTTAGCATTTGTATACCATTGCAGCAGGTGCCGTTGCACACGTCTGTCTGCAGTGTATCCTTAGAGTTTTCACACTCTGGTTCCCCAAGTCCATGACACTTCCTTCTTCTCTGCTTCACACCCTCTCCACAGAGAACATTGCAAAACGACCATTGGGACCAGGGAGACCATGTAGGTACTCTGAAAGCAGACAGTTTTACATCAGTTTGGTTTCAGGTCAAGGCAGCTTTAAGATGACTCTACAGAACTGTGTCCACACTGACCCACAAGAGTGACAAGATCCATCTTCTTCTTGGTAACCATACTGAGAGTTCTGACAGCAGTCATCTAGCTCCACTTCCCCTAGTTCTGCGCTGCACTCACCTGTGGTCAGGTCGAAGGAGGCAAAACACTGCACACACTCTGCACAAACACACAAACATTTCCATGCATAAAAGAAAGAATAAGTTAACACAGAAATTGTTTTGTTACATTTAGTCCTTGTGAAAGGAAAGTAATCAAATAATCCATCTTAAAAGAAAACATTTAAAACAAAAGGTCAAAATACAAATCTATGAACTATACCAATCTCTGTTTAATTTAATTTTATTTTTTTCTGGGGAAAAAACACACAACCAGAGCAATGCTTTAAATCTGTATTAGATAGGTAATAAAAAAAGTTATATGTATACTACATACTCCTAAACTTGTACAATCACTTACTGCTGCCTTGATATCCCTTTAGAGTTGTATTCTGCACTGCTTTATCATTCTCTCACATCAGGTTTAGACTTTGACTAGGCCAATGTAAGCACCTTTTTTGTTACTTATTGTAATCCATTGTGTTGTGTCCTGAACACACCAAATCCAATTGTCCGTCCAATCCGACGGACAATTGGTAAAGGAAAACGCAGCAATAAAGGCTGTGGGATGGTTTATATGCAGACTGAGGCAGTGAGAGGTGATTTTTAAAGAGAAACTTTTGAAGTTTGTTTAATTTTTTTGTTGTTGTGTAGAATGATGAGCTTTGTTTACCTGCTTTATCTGCCCTTCGTTTGTTTGTTTTTTGTGAGGCTCAAAGAGGATCACCATTTTACTTCAACCGTTTTCTCTCCTCCTGAAATTCTTTTTTCCTCATTCGAGGAGAGTGACAAACTACGCTTTCTGCCCCTCGTTTTTTTCTCTTTTTTTTGCAAGGCTTAAAGGGGATCGTTACTTTATATGTTTTTTTGTCTTCCAGAACTCCTATCTTGGGTAAAGTATTCCTTGTAAAGTCTGGGTAAAGTGTTCTACAGTTGATTGCTTTTGCAGGTGCAGGTGTGTTTTACTTTATAACTGTGTCTCTCTTCCTGTCAGACTCATTACATTTCTGCTGAATTGCTATGTTGTCTGACTAAAATAGACCTGGTGTCTATTTCAGTTGGAGCTACACAAGCCCCATTGCATAAAATCGTGCCAGGTCACTAAACTTCATGACCGTCCATCCATTTGATCCTGCATGGTCCTTGTCAGGGTCGCGGTGGGGCTGGGGCCTATCTCCGGCAGACTATGGGTGAGAGGCGAGGTACACACTGGACAGGTCGCCAGTCTACCACAGGGCAACACAAAGACACACAACCATGCACACACACACCCACAGCTAAGGACAATGTAGAGAAGCCAATTAATCTAACAGTCGTGTTTTTGGACTGAGGGAGGAAGCCGGAGTACCCTGAGAGGAAAACATGCACGCACGCGGAGAACATGCAAAATCCATGCAGAAAGACCCCTGGCCAAAAATAAAACCCAGACCTTTCTGCTGCTAGGCAACACCATGCAGACCCCCCTCCCTGACCGCATCTGAAAATGTTTTCTGTTGGATTTTCTGTTGGATAGGGTGCAAAATCAGATTCAACGTGTCCAGTGCTAGATGTAAGAGGTTTTCAGAAAAACTGAGTGAAAGTTCCTTCCATTTTAAACCTGTTTTTTGGTTACTATGACCCAAAAGGCTGAGAATTTGCAGAGGCATAATGTTCTGGTTTGTGAGGATGTCTGTTCTATTATTAAGAATTAGAATTCTAGAATTATTTCACAAAGAGAACAGATTTTTCAGTTTTTACTTTCAGATTTACTTCTCTAAACTAGTCTCTTTACAGCTGCAGAAAGACCAACATGGGATGTCCCTAAGAGGAAGATCCAGGATTTCGACACAGGAGAAAGTTTGTCCCTGTTTGCACTGAAGAGTTACGCAATATTTAGGCAAACCTTTGAAAAACCAAACATGAATCTGCAGGAGGCTTCTTTTTATCTGACAGCTGATGGCAAAACAGAGCTCTTTTATTTCATTGTTTTATTACAGTGCTCTTGACAATTTGAACTTTGTTTTAATATTGATTATTTGATGACTGATTAACCGATTACTAACATGAAAGTAGCATTGGCACTTAAAATAAACATGAACAAAAACAAAGCATCATCACTGAGGACAAAACATAATAAAGGCACGATTATTCATTATTGGGAATCTCCGGACATAGTCAAATGCCAATAGTTGGAACAATATTTTCTAAATGTGTAAAACAGATTTTTAGTCTCAAATACACAGTGAATGTTTTTATATTCAAAAGTTATGGATTTTTCTCTTTTTGCATGCTCTTGTTTTCTGACCTTTAAGTGCCTTTTAGGATTTTAGCAGATTTATCATATACTGTAGCTGGTCTGCTCTTTAATGCATGTGATTTGTTCTTTTAGAAAATGATGGTGATTGCTCTGCAGAGCAAAATATTTATACTATGGCAGGTAATGTATTTTCACCCTAACAGATTTCTGTAAGGGGGTAAATATTTGACAAAGAAGGCTGTAATCTTACACTTTCACTTTTATCTCCTAATCATTAATCCTTTATAGGGCACTTATTAAAACACTTTGAAAATCAAAATTTCAAGCCAAAAATATCATTAGAGGACATGCCCTTATTACTGTTGTAACATTAAAAAAATATCTATTTTTATAGCAAAAATTAAGCTAAATTTAATAATAAGAAACGACCACATGCCCTGATATATTAAGAAAAATAACAAAAGTGGTTTAAAAGAAGTTCTTGAAAACAAAATAGTGAAAAAAACACATTTATTTGTTACCACATAACCTTAGTGACACTAATTCTGATACAGGCACTTAAATTTTTTACTCTTTTAACTTTACTTTTTAGCTTTTCAATTAGCCTTTTACCTTTTTTTCCTCCAACTTAATTCACAGTAGGTAATAAATCATTCAATGGCTCATCTAAATTGTCAAATGCAAAAATGACATGTTCAGCCATGTAGGAGTATCTTTGCTGAATGGCTGGATATAGATCTTGACCTCACCAAGGGGACAGTAATTTGCCCTGTAAAAGGTTAGATAGATGTCTAATAATTTATTCACTGCTTCCACAATAAAGCATAAATGCTTAAACAGGTTATGATTCTGAATTGAAATAAAAAAAATAAACAATCAAAATCCAAAGATAAAGTCCAGGTTGAATATCTTTATATTTGGAATTACCTGAGCGCTCCACAACCACCAGCAGAGGAACCAAAACCAGAAGAAACACTTCAGCCCCCTTCATCCTGCAGCTTCAGTGTGGATCTGGATCCTTACTTTGCTTCTGATAAGTTCCTGTTGTGTTCCTCCCCCTCTGACCTGTTGACCTAAAATCTGTATGAGTCACTGGTCAACAACACATCCTCCCTATGTAAACCAGTAGTGATATAGATTGTGACCCAGGCTGTGATAAATGCTGGTCAATGATGTGTTTTAAAGTAGACAGAGCCTTTGCAGCAGCAAAGTCCTCATAATGGATATGTTTCTGCCAAATGCAAAGTTTCCAATAGCTTCATCAAACCAAATAAGCATCATGTCATAAGCATAAGAAATAACCCCTCAAAACATCACAAGTGGACGAAAAGTTTAGCCAGTTAATATTTTATGCTGAGTTTAAGATCTCATCCCATTCTCTGCTAGGGTTATCAAAATCAAAAAACAAGGCAAGTGTATTTGTATAGCACAGTTCAGTACATGGACAATTTAAAGTGGTTTACATTAATTGGATAATAAAATTGGAGAAAAATAAAAGCAAAATAAAAGCAATTAAAGATTTGAAAAACATGAAAACAAATAAAACAATTTAGAAAAAAAGAACTCAGGCTTTCAGCACTTTTCCAGTCTTCTGGGAGTTTGGTCCAGATCAGTGGAGCACAGGAACTAAATGCTGCTTCTCCATGTTTGGTTCTAGTTCTGGCAGAACAGAGTAGGCTGGAACTAGAAGACCTGAGTGGTCTGGAAGGTTGATGCACTGACAACAGATCTGTTATGGATTGAGGTGCTGATCCATTCAATGATTTATAGACTAACAGAAGGATTTTAAAGTCTCTAGTCTGAGCGGTGTAAGGACTTCAGAGCCGGGATGATGTGCTCTACTTTCTAAGTTCTAGTGAGAACACGGGCAGCTGCATTTTGGATCAGCTGCAGCTGTCTGATGGACTTTTTAGGTAAACCTATAAAGACACTGTTGCAGTTATCAACTCTACAAAAGATAAATGCATGAATGAGGTTTTCTAGATCCTGCTTGGGCATTAGTTTTTTAATCCTCTTCAGGTGATTAAAGGCTGACTTGGTAACTGCCTTTATGTGCCTCTGAATGTTCAGAGTCAGAGTCCATCATGACACCAACATTTCAGTCATAATCAGGGGTTTCTAGCTGTAGTAGCCAGAAACCACTAAGCTGACCATGGACCTCTCCTCCTTTGGTTTGAAGATTATGACCTCAGTTTTGTTTTATTCAGTTGTAGAAAAATTATAGTGCATCCACTTATTGATCTACCCATGAAACTGACTACCTTTGAAACCAGCTCCAAGAGTGGATAAACATAAAACTGCCCCCATAGAGTCTCCATCATGTTACCCATATATGAATAACCGGCACATGCATTGGCTTGTATGTTTGGGCATTTCTCTGCCACCTTCAACATGTTCAGCTGGATGAAGTCTTTACCCTTTCTTTTTCTTACATCAGATGGTTTTTGATGTCTTTTTAAGTTTAAAGTCCTGATTCCCTGTTCTTTTCCTAAAGTGTAAACAAGTGTGTAGAATCTGTAGCAAACACTTATGTACCCTTTAAGATAGAGAGACCATGTAAACAACCTGGGTTTAAATGTATTTATTACCATTGTATAACATTAGAGGACAGTATATATAAATTCAAAGATGTCAATGTCCTTATTTTGCCTCTGAGTAGTTGATATTTAAGTTTTAATTATTTAAAGGCTAAATTTGTGACAAAATTTATGATGGTCAACGATAACATACACCGTTAGGAACCAGTTGTAGCATAACCAAGAGTTTGCCAAATGTTCCAGGGTCCACACTGAAAGTGTAACAACTGGCACATGCTCTATTGGCTATATGTTATACCAAAGGGTTTGTGGCATATTTGCAACAATCAGCGTCAAGGGGTTAAATCAGAAAACTTACTTAAAGGTATTAAAGAGGGTTTGTGTGAATTTTTTAAAAGACCCGCCCTCTTCACGTAAAAAAAAAAGCACAGCACAATCCTGTACCTGCTCCTGAGAGCGAATGCCTGTTAAAAGTGTGAGAGCAAGCAGGAGCCCATTTCTCCTCTTGCACGCTCTGTTTAAAAGTTGCCGTTCTCACAGCTCAGACAAGCTTACTGTGCCCGAACATCCACCCTAACCCCTAAATCCCTCAATCACTTTATAGAGTGGTGATTATGTAGTGGACTTTATAGTGATCTCTTACGTCCCTCTGCCATTTTCAAAGAAAGATGTGAGAAAGATGAGCTTCAATGACTATCTAAAACCGTAGCTCACCACACATATACGCCTGAAAGTGAGCATGCGCAGAGAAAGACAGCTAACAGGATGAGCACGTAGGATGGCCTTACATAAACATATCACCAATGATTGACAATTAGGACGACCACTTATTTAGAAGATCCACCCCGAAATAGAAGATCGTCCTCTATGCCTTTAAGTGCCATCACATAAAAGACAGACATATAATATGCAGTACAGCATCCAATGCCAACATTTCTTATCAATGTTAAGTAAGAAAATATACATAAGATAAATAAACCTTTTCTGGGTTTTGTTTTAGTTAAAACATTTTTTCAGTCTGTTAGTTCTTGACCTGATGCCCCTGTAGCACTGGCCGTGGTGAAGCAGGTTTGACTCAGGTGAAAACTAACCTGAAATTAGACCACCACCTGCAACTAACATACCACCCTGAGATAGAGTAGTTAGAATGGTCTCAATGCAGGATCGGTAGAAGGACTCCAGTAGCTTTCTTTTCAGCTTATTTCACCTGCGAACCCTGTGGTGTTAGAGGGCCATGAGGGGTCTTCAGAGATAAAAATGCCCAGGTCTTTCAAGGTACAGACTTTATCCACACAGACGCCTTTAATGCTCAAGGGGATGAGGTCAGTTTTCTTCTTCTGTAAGTTGACGATTTCTTCTTTTGTTTTTATAATGTTTAGTTAGGGGAGTGTAGCCTAGTGGTTAGGGAATTAAGGTTGGATACCAGAAGGTTCAGACTTCAAACCCCACTCCCACTAACTACCACTCTGGCTCCCCAAGCAAGACCCTTAACCCCACACTGCCCCCTGGGGGCCACACAATGGCATCCCACTGCTCCCCAAGGGGATGGGTTAAATGAAGATAGTTAATTTTGTTGCTTTGTACAAAATAAAGGTGAACTCTATTCTATTCTATTTCCAGTTTGTTTGATGAGCGCCAAGCTGTCAGATTCAGGACCTCCTTCCTGTGTGTGTTTCGTCACCTCCAGCAATCAACCCCAACACAGTAGTGTCATCAGCTAAATTAATGTTTCCTTGATGGGTGCAGAGGGGGGTGCCAAGCACACAGTCCTGGGCAGCCAGTGCTAAGTATGTAACAATGTGTCAATTCACTAGCAGGGACATGACCAAAACAATTATGACTTTGAAGGTTTGTTGTCAGGAAGGGATGGAGGGATCAAGGAAAGAGGGGGTAAAGGGATGACGAAGGATGGCTGTCATCCGGGGAGAAATTGGAAGGCTTGAAGATTTCAGTGTGGGGGTATAGATCTTTGGGAAAATTCTGCTCCGCTCATTTTTCCGAGCCCATGTTGAACTCCCCAGATGGAACCTGCTACAAAGAAGAGCAAATTGTGTTTATGAGGTAGATTGAGATTAAAGGATGATGATGATGGGATGTAGGGAAAAGGAAGGGCAGAAATGGGATGAAAGGGATGAAACATAAATAGAGGAAAAGGAGAGCAGAGTATATATAGGCTAAATTTGGAAAATTGTATTAGTTGCAGAAATGTTATCCACAAAGATATTTCTTACATAAGCTCTCTGTTGCTCCATGTTAAGAATCAATTTTATTTATTATTTTTTTATTGTTTTTTCCCTTACTTAATAATTTATTTTTCTACTTTTTGAGACCGATAAGTTATTTTTTTTTTTTTTTCAGATTTTGTTAGTCGTACTAAAATGTTACTAAAAAGCATTGTTTAATCCTCTCAGTTCTTTGAACTAACTGTGCAATTTAGGTTTCCAGGTAAAAAGACAAGGACAAAAAAGTTTAAGTCTAAGACTTACTTTATCTACATTTCTGTTTTTATTTTCTAAAATTTTTACAGAAATGAATAATTATGCTTTGGGTGTAGTATTTGTAATGCTGAGTTGGATATTATTTGTATTTCTTCACCACATTTACATCCTAGCATTTTGAAACCAGTAAAACATTGTTCTGCTTTTTGTTAAAGCATTGCAAAATCTTTATGCAATAAGGGAAATGTTTCATATTTTCCTCCAAATGTGCTGATCTTTGATTTTATTGACGTTTCCTCACAGAAGCTTCGGCATAATGTGTCTTTTTCACTTTGAGGATAACTTGTCATTTCTCACCATCATTTCTCCCTATGTTAATCAGGAAATCAGTTATTTTAACATAAATATCATGATAAACATGGCTGATAATGACTTTTCACTATTCCAGATAGATCATCTCATTACCATTCCTGGCAGGGTGCTCATATGGCTTAAGGTTATGGCAGAAACTATTTTGTGTCAATAGAGAGCTATCTACGCTAAAAAAAACAAACAAACACAACACTTTTGGTTTTGCTCCCATTTTTTATGAGATTACTCCAAGATCTAAAACTTTTACAATACTTGCAATATTTGCAAGTATCTGTATCACCTGCAGGATCAGCTCCACCCCTCCCTCCATCCAGGCTCCTTTTATGTTGGCTTTGATCAGCCTCTGCGGACACCTGCGCGCAGCAGTTGCGGAGCACAGTTAGGGCACTCCGCCTCCTTAGACAACCTGCTTCAGCCCAGCTTGGATTTTAAAAGGGAAGCAAAAACCAAAACAATCCAAACATGCAAAGCACACCAAAAAAATTGAAATAAAAGAAAACACAATCATGTTTTCCCCTTGGAATGTAGTGTTGGTGCGTGCAACACAACCGCACTAACGCTACATTCCTCACAATGCAACGGTAGCCCGCAAATTCACAGCAGCACACTCAAGCGGCTGTGGCCTGTGGGCCGGTTCTAATTGTAATTAGATATCATCCAGGGGGCCATGGATAAACAACGGATCCGGCCCGCGGGCCTTGACTTTGACATA